CGGACATGTTTAAATCAATTCAGAATTTGATGCTGATCAAATATATATACTTTGGGGAATCTCTGCAGCTTACTTCCGGGAGATTGCAAACGTTTTCACAAAATGAATATACCCGTCATCCTACGGCGATGGGTACAAAAGGGAAGAATAAAAAATGAAATAACAGAGTTTAACAAAATTTAGAGCGACGAGAAGAGCAGAATGTAAAACAGTCGAAGAAATTTAAGTACGAATTAAATTCCGCCTAATGATTTATGTACATTTCTGCTATAGCTTATCGGTTCCATTTGAATGTCAGACAAGTAAAAAAAAGAAGAAAAAAAAAAAAAAAGAAGATAATATTGATCATGGATTTCACAACACTCCAGCCAGCTCTTATTTACCTGAGTGCATGCTTATATATTCATATTATAGGACAGACGGAACCGTAGACTAAAATGAAATAAAATCCTATACAATTTAACAGTTGACTGAAAGAGGAACATTTTCAAAGAACCCGTACAGGAAAACAAAAATATAAATGTAATGTCGAGAAAGAAGAAGATGAAATGAAAGGAAAAAAAAAAAAAGAACAGAAAAGGAAAGGAAAATGCGAAAAGGAAAACAGACAGTTAATAAGGACAAAAATCTGTAGCTAGAAATTTGAAGAAAATAAAATGCCGGAAAATCAACTCAAGTCGACAGTAGCACACAGGCCAAATACGGTCATAGACACATGCACTATGCATAGACATATAAACCAGTGTTTAAACAGGTAAGGTGCAGATTGCAAAAATCCACGTTAAACATTTTTGTTAAAATCGTTTAAACGCAATGCAGACGACGTATTAAAGAACGTATTGCAGAAGAAGAAAAAGAGGCAAAGAAGAAAATTAAATTCACTTCTGGGCGAATCTTGATCACCCACCATCAAAGTAAGCAGCGATTTTTCTCCCCCTTTTCTTTCGATCGATCGAAGCCATATCCAGCTTGAAGTTCCGTAAATCTGCTCTAAAGAAAGTTTTCTCTTAAATTTCACAAAAATTCATTTCTCCTAAAAAAAGATATTTGCGAACTGCTTATGTAATTGATCTATTGATCTGTCTCTGATCTCGCAGAACGAGTATGCATATGAAGTTACAATATTTTATCGTATTTATCGGAAACGGACTTGCAATCTTCCCACATTATAT